CTGTTCAGCTTTACTTCTCTGAGAGCGTGTGATTTGGGAACCAGAGAAGTAAAAAAAGAAATAAAGCTATTGCTGTCACTATTGCTCCTGTTTTTCAAGAAGGAAATGCTCCAAGGAGTAGAGATCAAAGATCCTACTTCTTGGACCATATTTTTGTGAGGAAATAGGACCATATTCTTGTGAGGAAATCGTGACCTCCTGACCTCAGCCCCTGGCCCTAGCCTTTCCAAATTCATCCATTCAGCTTGATTGGTTTGCTTCCTAGTAGGGCAGGTAATAGGTGACACAAGGTGTGCCATTGTTCACGCAGGTGATAGAGAACTCAGACGCAAATAGCCTTTTCTCTTTTATAACTGCAGGGGAGTTTAAATTCTGTGCACTTTCGAGGTCTTGAGAAAATGTGAACTACTCTTTGGTAAATCAAATATTTGCTGATTGGGTGCTTAGCTAACTAAACCTCAGGGGGAAATGCTTCCTAATTAATTAGAAAACATCTCATTTTATAAACAAACAGGACTGACCTCTTAGGGGAACATCTGTTATAAAATATATTGAAACATCAAGATATATATTTCTTCACTTCCCTACCACCCATCACATCCTGAAAGACTTCCAGAATAGAACAGCAAGAACTAGGAAAATGTATTATAATGACTTCCATGGGAGACTAAAAATTAATTGTACAAATTCATATTGTCTAAAATTAGTCTTTTAAATCAAAAGTTAATTTAATGTGGGCAGTGACATCTCTTAGGCCATGAGGTAAGTGGTATGTGAAGGCAGGGTTTAATTGCAGAACCTGAGATCACCCTCCCGGTGAACCCTCTGCATTATCCGGCCGTGCTCACTCGGCCTCTGACTGAGTGTTTTAAGGACAAGAAGCCACAGCTTCAAAGAGTTTGTGTCTAAAGAGTTGAACCTATTTCATTTTTCTCAGCTTTTTCTTAAAAAAAAAAAAAAAAATCCTATCTCTTGGCTATTGTAAATAATGCTTCAATGAACATGGGAGGGCATATATTTTTTCAAATTGGATTTCTTCAGATAAATACTTTTAAGTGGAATTGCTGAGTCATAAGGTAGTTCTATTTTTATTTTTATTTTTAGTTAATCCTTACCTGTGGATGTTTTTTCCATTGATTTTTAGAGAGAGTGGAAGGTGGGGAGAGAGAAAGAGAGACTGATGTGAGAAAGACACATTGATCAGTTGCCTCCTGCATATGTCCTGACCCAGGCCAGCATCGGGCCTGCAACCCAGGTACATGCCCTTTACCGGGAATCAAACCCGCATCCTTGGGTCTGTGGGCTAATGCTCTAACCACTGAGAAAACTAGCCAAGGTAAGGTATTTCTATTTTTATTAATAACTTACAAGAGCCAAGGTATGGAAAAAACTTAAGTGTCTATTGACAGATGAACAAATAAAGGGGGGGAAATATATATATATATATATATATATATATATATATATATATATATATTTGTTATATTTGTTATATTTGTTATATTTGTTATTTGATATATATATTTGTTATATTTGTGCACTGGGAGTGGATGTCCCATAGCCCAGTCTACACTCTCTCCAATCTAAAACCCCTTGAGGGATGTCTGACTGCCCACCAGGATCAGGCCTGAATGGGCAGTCAGACATCCCTCTCACAATCCAAGACTGCTGGCTCCCAACCACTCACCTGCCTGCCTGATGGCCCTAACCGCTTCTTGCCATGAGGTAAGTGGTATGCCAGTTTGATCACCCCCTAACCACTCCACTGCCAGCCTGATTGATGCCTATTTCTCTGCCCGCCCTATTGCCCTTAACTGCCCTCTCCTGCCAACCTGGTCACCCCTAACTTCCCTCCCATGAAGGCCTGGCTCCCCCCCCCCCCACCTGCCTCCCCTGAAGGCTGCCAGCCTGGTCTCCTCTAATTGCCCTCTCCTGTAGGCCTGGTTGCCCCCAACTGCCCTCCCCTACAGGTCTGGTCCCCTCCAACTGCCCTCCCCTGCTGGACTGATCACTCACAACTACCAGTCATCTTGTGTCCACATGGAGGCAGCCATCTTTGACCACATGGGGGTAGCCATCTTGTGTATTGGAGTGACAGTCAATTTGCATATTACTCTTTTATTAGATAGGATATTTCATTTTTTCTCAGCCATAAAAAAAATGAAATCTTACCATTTGCAGCAACATGAATGGACCTAGAGGATATTTATGCTAAGTGAAGTCAGACAGAGAAAGAAATTCATATGATTTCATTTATATATGGAATCTAAAGAACAAAACAACAAAATAAATGAACAAACAAGAGGGAAATAGATTCATAGATACAGAGATCAGACTGATGGTTGCCAAAGCAGGGAGTGGTTGAGGGGGCAACTGAAATAGGTGAAGGGGATTAAGAGGTAACAAACTTCCAGTTATAATACCAGATGGGTACTAGACTTACTGAGAGGATCACTTTTTAAATTATATAAATGTTTAACCACTATGCTATCCACCTGAAACTAATATGAAATAATATTGAATGTCAACTGTAATTGAAAAAGAAAAGAAAAAATCCTGGCTTTCTGTTCATTCTATCTTGGATTCAATTCTTAGTCTTAGAGCCTCCTGCTGCCTTGTGACTGAGAGCTGTATTCCAGCTAAACTGCTCCAGCTCCCTCAGTGTCCCCTCCCAAGAGTTTTTTTCCAGGCTTTGCCACCTGGCCACACTCCAGCAGGTCATCAGCCTGCCAGTGTCTTTCTTTTCTTCTTCTTTTTTTTATGTACAAAACAGTTCTCTTCAATCAACAAGCAACTTCTGGAACATACTGCAAATCTCATTGTCAATATGCACTATGTTGGAAGCATCCACTACCATAACAAACTTCACCTTGGACTTGGCCATGTAGCCATATACCTTGTAGTCCTCTGCAGTGTTTCCCAAACTTTTGACATATGTGTACCCCTTCTATGATTTTCCTAACGCTGAGTACCCCTCATACAGTGCATATCCCCACCAAACTCCAGTGCAACGCATACCCCCACCGTGCTTAGCTGCACCTAATTCTATGTTCTCATGAGTACAAGGGGTACGCGTACCACACTTTGGGAAACACTGCTCTATGGGGTACAGCAAGCCCAGGTAGAGCTCCCTTTGGAAAAGAAAAAATCCTGGCTTTCTGTTCATTCTATCTTGGATTCAATTCTTAGTCCTAGATCCTCCTGTTGCCTTGTGACTGAGAGCTGTATTCCAGCTAAACTGCTCCAGCTCCCTCAGTGTCCACCAGGGCTTTCCCCATTGCAGAGATATTCTCATCCACCACATCCAGGGATGTGTGTACCATCTAGAACTTCAGCTCATTCTCCATGTTGACACTCTTTGGCTACTACCACCATGCACACTGCCAGTGTCTTTCTTGATGTGATATGAACAAACACAACCCTTCAGGTGTGGGCTCCCAGAGAGCAAGCATGTTAATCTCTTCTAGCCTAACCTTAAGTTTCTTCTAGGAAGTCTTGTTATATGGCATGAATATCCTGCTTATAAGGCTATTCCTTCTGAGGAATAAAATATTCCTTAAATAAAATGTTAGGGTATGGTTATTAAATGAACTATGGAAAGACAGTTAACTTGCTAATGACATGAGAGGTGTCTGTAAACATCATTTTGACATTAACACACACTATGTCTGTGCCACTGCCATAATCATGGTGGCTGCCAGCAAACTCAGGGCAGGCGGGGAAGTTAGCCTGGGAAGAATCCTGACTGCAGTTCAGAAAGTCTAAGATAGGTTGGCAGAAGGACTTTGATGACTCTCTCCTCCTCTAAAGGATGTAAAAAATTGTAAGGGTGGGTTTTTCTGAGGAAAGAGCCTTTCACTTTCAGAAGACTCTCAAAGTGTTCATTATTCATCACTTTATTTTCAAGGAAGTTGCTGACCAACTTTTTTTTAATTTTTTTAAAATATATTTTATTGATTTTGTACAGAGAGGAAGGGAGAGAGATAGAGAGCTAGAAATATCCATGAGAAAGAGTCATCGATCAGCTGCCTCTTGCACACCCCCTACTGGGGATATGCCCGCAACCAAGGTACATGCCCCTGACCGGAATCGAACCCGGGACTTTCAGTCCCCAAGCCGACGCTCTATTCATTGAGCCAAACTGCTTTCGGCCTGACCAACTTTTTAGTTTTGTGTGGTAACGTGGAAGACGTCTGCTTGAATTGTATCAAAAGTTTCTGCAAGAAGTCCTTTTCTCCTGGGACATCAAATCAGGGAGCTAGGAAGGAGTGAGGCTCATTGTTGCAGTGGCATGAGTCCTTCACCACAACTGTTGGTGTGGTGGTACCTGCTGGGAAGGAAAGGCCATCATCAGCCTGCTTAGTACAAGGAAGAACAAGTGAGCACCTTTCATGGAAGTTATGGTTCTCTTTTAGAGAGGCCAGCATTAGGTTTTCTAAGAACCCCTGATGATGGCATGATATTCATGTATCATGAATATCATGATATAAATATATTGTGTAAATTAACCAATATTTATTTTCTTACTTTGTCTTCTTAGTCTGTATGGTAAACCAGATTATTTCATTCCAATGAATAATATTTTTTCTTGGATAAACCATTTAATCACTAAAACTTTCTATGGACCCTCTGTGCACTCTGGGCAATTAGAAACACAGTGATTTCATGGGAGCTGGGGAAGGAAATTTAATTACCTGAGTTCCTGTATTCATGCTAAACAGTGACCTATTATATAATCTAAAGTCAGTTGAATGAAGATGATATTAAATCCCCTTGAAAGTTATCTCTGGTTAAATAAATAAATAAATACCTTTGAATGTCTTTAGGCTGGGCATTCCTCCCCAGAACACCTCCTACCAGCAGTTTAGGGATTGAAATTATAACTATCACAACACACTTTAAGCAAAAATTGCTTCAGTCTGTAATATAACTACTATTGTATACCTTCAAAGGAACTTTCTGTTAATTCCCCTTTGTCTGTTTAGGAATAAACCAATACAATGGATTGGGGCACCCTGCACACTTTCATCGGGGGTGTGAACAAACACTCCACCAGCATCGGGAAGGTGTGGATCACTGTCATCTTCATCTTTCGTGTCATGATCCTCGTGGTGGCTGCTCAGGAAGTGTGGGGTGATGAACAGGAAGACTTTGTCTGCAACACTCTGCAACCGGGATGCAAAAATGTATGCTATGATCACTTTTTCCCAGTGTCCCACATCCGGCTGTGGGCCCTGCAACTCATCTTTGTCTCCACCCCTGCCCTACTTGTGGCGATGCACGTTGCCTACTACCGGCAGGAGGCCGCCCGCAAATTCAGACGAGGAGAGAAGAGAAATGAGTTCAAAGACTTGGAAGACATTAAAAAACAGAAGGTTCGGATCGAGGGAGCCCTGTGGTGGACGTACACCAGCAGCATATTTTTCCGAATCATCTTCGAAGCTTCCTTTATGTATGTGTTTTACTTTCTCTACAATGGGTACCATCTGCCCTGGGTGCTGAAATGTGGGATTGATCCTTGCCCCAACCTTGTTGACTGCTTCATCTCTAGACCGACAGAGAAAACCGTGTTCACCATTTTTATGATCTCTGCCTCGGTGATTTGCATGCTACTCAATGTGGCTGAGTTGTGCTACCTGCTGCTGAAAGTGTGTTTCAGGAAATCAAAAAGAGCCCAGACACAAAGAAACCACCCCAGTCATGCCCTAAAGGAGAGTAAGCAAAATGAAATGAATGAGCTGATTTCAGATAGTGGTCAAAATGCAACCACTGGTTTTCCAAGTTAGACATTTCAAAGTGCTATGTAGCCAGCTGCTAACAAAACTGGTATCTTCTCCGAAGGACCCTCTCCCTAGGCTAGAGACTGTGTTTATAAATGGTTCTCATAATACATAGGTACCTGAATTAATGTTTTATAGAATAATTGTGCCATAAATATGCAACATGATTACATATGTCGTCCATCTCTAAAAACTAAAACAGGTTGATAACCATGCCTTGAAGCTTCTTTCACATGTCTGTTTTACATGGACCATCTGACATAGTGGGTATTTCCTGAAACTTTAAGATTGTAACTTTTGTTGATAATGTTAATCTAGAAATGGATAATTTTAATAGTAAAAGGTATTTTTATAGGATTAAGTGTTTTAGTACTGACTTTGAATTTATATATTTTTATAATGACTAGTCTTCTTTACCTGGAAAAACATATGATGATAGTTTTAGAATTATACATTAAGTATTTAAATTTTGAACTTACTGTATCTTGTTGTAAATCATATTTTGCATTGTTTATCGACAAGTTTATAAACTAGCACGATGCTCTAGAAAGTGTTCATTGTACAATATATTTTTATGGCTTTGTGAATGTTGATAGAGCTATATGGAGGTCGAAAGCTTTTTAAAACTAGTCCATTTGCAGTAGTTGTGAATTGCTCCCCTCAATAAAGTTGAGCTCCACTGCTTAAGCCTTCCTATGCATTCTGGGTTTCTGTTCGGGGCACCATGATGTCAACCCCAGTGGTTTGAATGGATTGGAGTACTCTTGCTGGGGTAGCTGCTGGTTCAGTGGGTAGAGTTGCCCTGAAATTCACTGGGGACTCTTGTTTCCTCACAGCAAATGAGCAGAGACCAAGTTCAGCAGCCCACTCAGTCCTCCACTGGGAGAGGAGTTTGCAACTTTAGCTCATGGAGGATGTCCTCTGAGTCAGTGCAATCTTGATAGGGAAGAGGTCGGGGAAGTTTTCAGGTGTTCAGCATCAACCTAACAAAGCTTGCCTCAACAGACTCATTACCTGAGTCCTTCAGCCCATGATGACTGAGAAAAAGATCCACAGCTTTACGCCCATAGATGGGGAAACCTTCCTCCTAAGGATTTCCCAGTTGAACACAGATGCCTTTTGTGTGGGTGTCAGTGAGTCAATCACAGACTGGTCATTCTGGAGTAATAATACACACATGCAACCTACATAGTTAGCTTACACAATGCATAGGTACACCTAATGAATAATGAATATACATGAGGGCCTGACAGCCCCAGATTCTATAACACTAAAAAATCTAGTCAGCACTGGTAATTCCCAATTGTCCTATAATGTTATTGTTTTAAATAGCTGTTTGAATGGGTATAAAATGAAACCCATGTATAGGAAGGTGGGAGATATCAAGGCAGATAAAACAGCTTTGGTAGTAGGCCCAATCTGAATGGAAAAGGGACTTCTTTTCCACCTTGCTCTTGGGATTCCTGGACCCCTCATGACTGTCCCACTGATTCCTTCTCTCTGCTCTTTAACCTGCCTAAACACACCTTTCCTCTGGAGCTCCCACTGCACCATCCCTTCAAGGTCTGAGACTATGGCACACTTGCTGCCAGCACTCTCTATCCACCTGCTTCTCATCACTGTTCCCATTGAAAACAAAATGATGCTCTGAGCACAAGCCTAATGACTTCTTTTCCCATCCAAGTACTAACCAGACCCGACTCTGCTTAGCTTCCGAGATCAGTCAAGATTGGGCACATTCAGGGTAGTATGGCCTTAGACTAATGACTTCTTTTCAGTTGTCACAATTCTTTTTTAATCCTCACCTGAGGCTATGTTTATTGATTTTGAGAGAGGAAGGGGGGAATGAGAAGAGAGAGAGAAAGAGAGAGAGAAAGAGAGAGAGAGAGAGAGAGAGAGAGAGAGAGAGAGAGAGAGAGAGAGAGAGAGAGAGAGATTGCCTCTGGGAACCCAAATCCACAACCTTTGTTATACCGGACAACACTCCAACCAACTGAGCCATTTGGCCAGGGTTCAGTTGTTATAATTTTAAAACTCTTTGGGATCCTTTTCTAGATTCCAAGACACTGCCCAACTTAACCTTGGATCTCCACCTTCAACTTGGGCTCCTGCATTGTCTTCTCTCTCTCTCCCAGTCCCTTGCATAAAGACATTTTCTTTCCTCACCCAACACTCTTCCTGATGAGATATCATCCCCACTTTATGAATGTGAACACTGAGGGTTGGAGAGGTTAGGTAACTTGCCAAAAGTCCATACCTAATAAGTAGCAGAGCCAAGGTTCAAACCAGGTCCAGTTGTCTCAAAGTCAGTGGCTTAACTACTGTATCACACTGACTCCCACAGCTTGACTGCACATGTAATGTGTACCATTAAGAAATCTCATGCACCTATTATTTAGCTCTAGCAAGCATCTTTTTATGCCTATCTGCCTTTCCCACCTCACCTGCCCATCCCCAAGCCTGGATTATCTAATGCAAATTCTAGACATTTCATCTGCAAATATTTCAGTATGAGTCCTCTACAAGTCTAGACTACCTTTTAAAACAAGACACAATGCCACTATCCCACAAAAAAAAAATCCAGTCAGTGTTTATAATTCTCCTATTGTCCTATAAATGCTCCTTTAAAAAATTAAACTTGTTATTATGATATAGTTATAGATTCATATCCTAATATATAAAAATGCTGGGTCCATCACATCCACAATGACTGGGAGGCTCAGCCAACTGTAAGTCAGAGCTGGGTTGCCATAGTGACCCAGCACTGACTGCTATGGCTGTAGGCACAGTGACCCAGCACTGACTGCTGAGGGGACTGCAAATCAGGCCCAGAGAGAGGCCTGAAGAGAGAACAGGATCTGATTCATAGCCTCTGTGGCAGCTGTTAATCAGCACTTGCCTCTTTCTTTCTTTTTTTAAAATATATTTCATTGATTTTGTACAGAGAGGAAGGGAGAAAGATAGAGAGTGAAACATCGATGAGAGAGAGTCATCGATCAGCTGCCTCTTGCACACCCGCTACTAGGGATATGCCCACAACCAAGGTACATGCCCTTGACCGGAATCAAACCCAGGACCTTTCAGTCCCCAAGCCGACGCTCTATCCATTGAGCCAAACCGGTTTTGGCAGCACTTGCCTCTTTCTTTCCACTTTAGGTCAGCAGCCATGCTTCCGTTTCTCTCCAGGCCTGGACCAAGGCTGCTGATCAGCCCGCCTTTCTGATGAGGCCCCATTGATAGGCCCAAAGATGCTGACTGGCATAAAAACTGACCAATCAGAACCAAATCTGGGTCAACTGTGAGGAGCCAATGGATGCTTAGAAGGCAAAGCTTTTGACACTGACTGTTATAGAAACCGACCAATCAGAATCAAATTGGCCGGTGGAGGACCTTTGGGGGTGAGCTCAGGCCAGCAGGGGAGGGCCGTTGGAAGAACCAGGCCTCCAGGGGAGGGAAGTTGTGGGCCACCAGGATGGCAGGCGAGGGCAAGTGGAGGCAATCAGGCTGGCAGGGGAGCAGTTAGTGTTAATCAGGCCGGCAGGGGAGTGGTTAGGGGGCGATCAGGCTGGCAGGCAGAAATGTTTAGGGGCAATCAGGCTGGTAGGCAAGCGGTCAGGAACCAGCAATTCTGGATTGTGAGAGGGATGTCTGACTGCTGGTTTAGGCATGATCCTTGTGGACATCCCCTGTGGGGTTCCAGATTGGAGAGGGTGCAGGCTTGGCTGAGGGACCCCCACCACAAATGCACAAATTCCATGCACCTGGTCTCTAGTGTCAGTATAAGAAACAATACAGAGGTCCCAGGTGCTCTTAGCACAGTTTTCCTCAATAGTAACATCTTTTAAAACTATAATACAAGATTTCAACTAGGATATTGACATTGATACAGTCAAGATACAGAACATTCCATCACCATAAGAACCCCTCATGTTGCACTTTCCCTACTAACCATTCCCTCCTAACCCATCCCTGCCCACCACATACATACCTCCTCAACTCCTGGCAACCATTGGTCTACTTATCACTTCTATCATTTTATGGTTTGGATTTTCCCCCCTTCATATACGAATGGTTTAATTCTTCTTATTACTGAGTAACATTCATGATATGGGTGTATCACCATTTGTTTAACCATCCACACATTCAAAGACATGAGGCTATTTCTAGTTCAGGGCTTACACAAAAACATGAACATTCATGTACAGGTTTCTCTGTGAATACAAGTCTTCATTTCTCTGTGATAAATTTTCAGGAATTCAGTTGCTGGGCACGTTTTACTTTTTAAGAAACTGCCAAGCTGTTTTCCAAAATAGCTTGTCCCATCAGCATGTTTGAGGGACCCGTTTTTTCCTCATCCTTGCCAGCACTGGGTGTTGTCACTATTTTTTATTTTAGGTATTTTGCTAGATGTGTTTAATTTGCATCTCCCTAATGGCTAAAGAGGTTGAACATCTTTTCATATGTTTATTTGCCATCTCTATATCCTCTTCATGTCTTTTGCCTGTTTTATAATTGGATTGTTTTTCTACTGTTGAGTTTTGAGAATTCTTTATATACTAGTATTCTAGATTCTAGTCCCTGGACAGAGATATTTGGTTTGTAAATTCCCCGCCCCATTCCCACCCTCCCCCTTCCACACACACACAGTCTGTAGCTTTGTTTTTGTCATCTTTTTAACAGGGTCATTTGCAGAGCAATTGTATTTCATTTTAATGAAGTCAAATTTATCAAATTTTTTTTTATAAATTAAGGTTTTGGTATCAAGTCTAAGAATTCTTTGCCTAGCCCTAGGTCTTGAAGATTTTCTCCTACATTTTTCCCTAAAAGCAGTACAGTTTTACACTTCAATCTGTGGTCTATTTTGTGTTTAATTTTGTAAAAGGCCTGAGACTTTTGAGGTTTATTTATTTATTTGGCCTGTTTAGCATCATTTGATAAAAATACTTTTTCCTCCAGTGAATTGCTTTTGCACCTTTTCCATAAATCAACTGGGCACATTTGTATGA